ACACACACACACACACACACACACACACACACACACACACACACACACACACACACACACACACACACACACACACACACACACACACACACACCGCCCACCCACGCGCAACGGGCCTTGCACTTTGAATGCCGTGGGGCTCCTGTCGTTAGACGTGGAGACGCGAGGGTTGCCCCCCCTTGCCCCACCACCTCGTGTGCGTGGAGAAGTTTACCTTACCTTACCTTACCTTACCTGGTGTACGCCACGGTCCCTCTGGGCTCCGTGTCGACGAAGGTCGCCCGGGACTGGCTCGCCAACGAGCTCTACGAGCCGTCCCGGCGCGGCAAAATTGATGCGGCCTGCAGATACCGAAAGGTCGCCGACCTGATCACGGCTGCCGGCGCCTCGGCCCCGTCGCCCTCTCCTCCTCCACCGTCACCGCCACCGCCCTCTCCGCCGCCGCCTTCTCCGCCGCCGCCTTCGCCGACTCCCCCGTCGCCGCCACCGCCGTCACCGCCGCCTCCCTCTCCACCGCCGCCCTCGCCGCCACCGCCGTCACCGCTGCCTCCCTCTCCGCCGCCGCCCTCTCCACCACCGCCATCGTCGCCGCCGCCTTCAGCCCCGCCGCCCTCGCAACCGCCGCCCTCCCCGCCACCGCCGTCTCCGCCACCACCGGCTCCGCCACCGCCGTCTCCGCCACCGCCCTCTCCGCCGCCGCCTTCTCCGCCGCCGCCTTCGTCGACTCCCCCGTCGCCGCCACCGCCGTCACCGCCGCCGCCCTCTCCACCCCCGCCCTCGCCGCCGCCGCCTTCAGCCCCGCCGCCCTCGCAACCGCCGCCCTCCCCGCCACCGCCGGCTCCGCCACCACCGGCTCCGCCACCGCCGTCTCCGCCGCCGCCGTCACCGCCGCCGCCCTCTCCACCCCCGCCGTCACCGACTCCCCCGTCGCCGCCGCCGCCCTCGCCGCCGCCGCCCTCGCCGCCGCCGCCCTCGCCGCCACCGCCCTCGACGCCACCACCGTCGTCACCGCCGCCCTTGGCGCCGCCGCCCTTTCCACCTCCACCGTCACCGCCGCCCCCGTCGCCGCCGCCGCCCTCCCCACCGCCGCCCTCTCCACCACCGCCATCGTCGCCGCCGCCTTCAGCCCCGCCGCCCTCGCAGCCGCCGCCCTCCCCACCACCGCCCTCCCCGCCACCGCCGTTGCGAACAGTC